GTATCTTTCTTCTAAAAAACTTCGAAAGGTTGTAAGTTTGTCATGTTTATGCTTAAAGAAGACATTTAGTTTTTGCAATCCTAGAATTTGTATTTGTATTATTTTGGTTGCATTAACAACTGTACCAAGAGAGTTGTCAACATCTAAAAATGAGAGATTCGCTAACTTCTCAAAGTCACAGCTATAGAGGTGACAACAATGCTGATGTCACCACTAATTCCATAGGAGAAGCGAAGGAAACTTATTATGGTGATCAAACTAATTTTGAGAGATCGGTTGAACTGCCAACTTTGAAGTTGTTCATTGTAGAAGCTTCGGTTTCATCAAGTAAGGACTTATTACACTTTAAGAAATGATACTCAACCTTCAAGCCAACTTGAAGCTTGAGAAATCAAAGACGGTTGAGAGAATTATTGAACTTCAACATTTAGGAAAAACTGAGAAATTCATTTGAGTGGCTTGTCATAGAAAATTATTGTTATCTCTAATCATCTTGTTTTTGTTTCAAATGAAGTCTTCATGGAAATTAAGCAAGAAGTGAATAAATTGAGGGATGAAGTTGTCCTTTTAAGGAAGCTCATCATGTCTCCTAAACTAAGTCAATTTGTTGGAAAAGTCTAGTTATCTCTTCTTCACCTAATTGTGAAATGATTTCTAGAGATCCCGTCAAACAAGCTCTACTAGAAAGAGTTATGTCATCGCTTATATCCGAATTTAAGAATTCGCCAATGTATTCAAGTTGTCCTCCAACAAGCTAGTTGCTTTTATATATTTTATTATTTTTCCTTGCAAAATAAGAAGTTGATTTCTTTTAGAAATTTGCAATTTTTCTTTTAATGAGTTTTTTTTTAAATGAAAATTCTTTTTGGGTGAATCTTGTTGACATTTTATTTAATCATTTTATTTTATGAAATGATAATTGTGTTGTTATAAGCAATGGCGAGTTCTTTGAAAATACATCACTTCAAGTCTCAATGTAATTGATGATTTTTCAAGATATTTGGTTTTTATACTTTGAATAAACCTAGATGATGTCGCTGGGGATTAGATTACACGGCTTTCTAGGTCCCTTCGAATCCTATAAATACCCCCCTCTATATTTAGTTGTTTCTTTACGTTCCCTCTTTATTTTGCTTTCAAGCTACTTCTCATTCTTCATAGTCATAATGTAGGCTCTTCTTGCTTGCCTAACGAATGTCTCAAAGGTAGATTATAACTTCAATTCGTTGGTCACCAAGTATAATATGAAGTAGATATGATGAGAATTTAGCCTTGATGGCAACTTCACAATAGGAGTTGTTGAATATGATGAGTTTCCAAACTCACTAAAGGAGTACAAGACGTGTTTCTATCAAGATAAGTCCTAACTTGGTCTACGACCTTCCTTCTTTCATGTAGTGGTAAAGATCCTGAACTAACATTGATTGGTTCCCTCTTAGGCGATGTTGAACGCCTTTGCGAGTATGATTTCTTTTGTTTTTTTCCTAAGAAAATAAAAAGTGAGTTGGAGCTTAAGCCATTTTAGATTTATGTTTACAATAAAATCCTTCAAAAAAGATGTTATACTTTTCTTTAAAGTATATTAAAATTTTAGGTTTAGAAAATAAAATTTAGGACTTTTAAGATGAGATATTTCTTTGTGAAGTCAGCAAAAGGGTGGTCAATTAAAACTAAGCTGAGTATAATTCTAAGGAATAACCTTAATTAAGGCACAATATCTTTTATTACAAGATGTCAAGTTGAAATTCATGAAATCATCAATTAGATTGTGTCTATTACAATACAAATGGCTCTATTGAATAAGTCATCATTCTCAAATACTCCTAAAATATTAGGTTATCGAGTAAGTCTTTATTTGAAATCCTTATGAACTTCATTTCTTCTTTCAATTACTTTGTCATTTATTTTCCTTTATGTAATTTTTTAAATTTATGGAGATATTCTCATTGTTGCCAACTTAGATGAAGCACCGAAAGAATGTATAAAGTACTTCCTAAATGACATATTGTATGAGGCACATGACTTGCCTTCTGAGAAAATAGAAGGTGAGTTATTTTGAATGAGGAGTAGAAACCGAGAAAGATAACGCTAAGCCAAGTTCTCAACAGAGGTTTAAGAAGATGTTCATGCATCTACTAGAGAATCTACACCACCAACTAGCTTGTCAAGCAAAAGACAAAGAAATATTGTGGAGAATTTCCCAAGAAAGATAACTTGAGGAGTTTTAAGAAGAAATTCGAGGAAGATGTGAAGACTTCAAAGACTTTGAATGATAAGTTGCATGCCAAGCTTCATAGTCAGATCGATGTTTTCAAGTCTATTATGGTCAACTCTAAGTTTTCTAAGAAAGGCCTCACTCATTATTTACTGTCTCTTCAAACTATGAATGTCAAGTTAGAGGAGTCTCTAAATGAATTGCAAGAAGTCCTCACAAGTATCCAAAGTCTCTATTACTGATGAGCTTATTGATTCTAAAGACAAACGGACCAAGATTAAGAGTAAGTATCATGAATGAGTCGTTTTCTGCCCGGATGTTCTAAAGAAACATAGCGCCATCAACCACATTTTGCAAGACTTAAGTTTCTTCTATTTTCAAGCACTAAATATGTTGAGATTCTTTAACACTATGTAACTTTTTGGTTTTATGTCTGATTTGTAATTTTTAATTTCTTTAAAAAAAATTCTAGCTTCAATTCATTGTCTTTATTTTGTGCGCCTCTTAATAAATCCTAGAATGTAATAATAAATCAATAAAAATTTTGTAAATAAGTGAACTTCAAAGATATAAAATAAGTAAAGTTTCCTCTTATCAAATTTGTCGAGTTAATGTAATCATCGAGTAGATAACTGAATGTCAGGTAAATGATAGAAATGTCAAGTAAATGATCAAATTATTGAATTGATTTAATTGTCGAGTAAATTATAGAATGATATTTTATATTATTGATAAGTCTTATCTAACCTTAATTCTTTTATGTATTTTTGAGAAGTCGTCAACTTGGATGAGCATCCCCTTGTACTGAGCTTTTATCTTCACAAAGTTATTCATCTCCAGACTCTCTACTGTATTACAAAGATGTTGGTAATAATTTGTTTCATGGTCATGATCTTTATGGATAGACTAGTATTTTGATGTTTTATGAATGAGGTTGCACATATTGTGTACATAGCCAACGGAAGTATTCATTATCTTTAATTATGTTCACCAATCCTCCATATAATACTCAATAAGGAGTATAAGTAGGATATTTATTAGTTATTGGCAACTTATCTCTGCTACAAGGGTGGTAAGTCGGTGATTTCCTATGCTCAATTCTCATGATGTGATTGTTGGTTGTTACAGCAAGTTCCAACATCTGTTTAGTTCAAGTCCACTTGATATTTCTTTGGCCAATGTTGTGATCTTGCCAAGAATCTCAAATGAATTCTAGATGCTATCTTGAAGTTTTCTGTTCTTCAATATTTACATAACTATTGATGAATTCCAACAATTCATCCATCTACATTGGCTACTTCAAGCCCAGTGCATATCTAAATAGTCCCTCTTTGAGGCCCTAAGTAAACTCAATTATAACGACTACAGGATTCCTATCTTTGACCTCTAATATCTCCAGCTACAATCAAGCAGTAAAATTCTAAGGGACTCTTCCTTTTCTAGCATCATCTTTATCGTCTAAGAATTTTTTAGCAGCTCCTGAAGACTTGTAAATTGAATTGTTTCTTGAAATCGATAAAGGAAGAACTTCCAAATAGAAGAACAAAGAACTACTTACATGTTGAATCCTTAAAGAGTATAATGAAGAGTCGTAACTTCATAGCATTTAATGTAGACCATTAAGCTAATTTCACCATATTATTCTTTGGCTCGCCCTCTAATCGTCTATTTATAAACTTTTTTCAATGAATAACGCTATAGAAAAGTCTATATTTAGGTGATAGAAATAAAATTACATAGTAAGGATTAACAAGTGCTTGTTGTTAAATAGACTTAGTCCATAGCTACATAATTACATAGACAATGCATGTTGATGACTAAGAGCCAATTCCATGTGAAGTTGCCTTGGCAAGTTGAATCAATAACTTCTGCAACTTGGGACAACTTCCCCTAAACGGCCCTAGGGCTGAGTGGGTGACTTCAAATGATCACGATGTTAAGTTTAGAGGAAATATGTCAAATAGCTTTGGCGACTTGACCTTGCTAGTGACATTATCATATTCTTTGACAACTTCTTTTACATGGCTATTTAATTCTCTAGCCAACTTGACTTAAACTCGGCCAACTGAGATGGACCAACTTGACTTGAACTTAGTTTATTTTGATCAGCTAGATCATGAAAACCTGGCCTGAGCAAATTTGGATGTACAAAGTCCTCCCAGGAAAATGAAATCTATGGATATTGTCTCATCTAATTCCATTTTATATTTTGAAATATCAACCCATAAAAAGTCGAATATGTCAACAATTAGTGAAACTATTTTCAAACCATGAAGCAATACTAAATCCACAGATACGTTTGGTTGAAAATTTTCTGGCAGCATTTCTTACCTAAGGGAAAGACCATTTAAGATTAAAGATCAACTTGGCATGCTTATCAACTGTTTAAAAGCAGCAGTCTTTCATTCAAACGAGCATCCTCAAAACAAGTGGACTAGATGCCACAAATAAATGGACAAGAATTCCATTAAGATGAAACAGCCAGAGACGTCAGCAACCTAAACAGCAACACCGCGTTTTTTTCCCAAGTCTATGGGATTTCCACCATATTTAGTGAAATTCACTTGTATTCACTTGCCTCTTATCATTTCACAAAATTCTCAGAGGATTTAACCCACAAAAGATTTATTAAATCCGGATTTACAGTATTTACAAACTCCTACTTGAGCTGAATCCTAATCGCAGCCAAAAAACCTTTGGGGCATTTCAGATTACTCCAAATTTCATCCGAGGAAAGCTCCAGAATCCCAATAATGATACAAAAACGATTGGAATGAGAACTAACCCATCGACTTCCATGAGGAGGCCGAGCTTCCGCGAAGGCTCCGGGTCCAGGTAAGGTGACGTACACGACGAAGGTGGGAATCGCCAGGTCTTGAGGGTTTTTAATCGGATAATAGGCTCTCGAATGGAAGCAGAAGTGGAGGAGAAGAAAGGCCCCGGGATGACAGATTTGGAGACTAAAGACGTGAGTGTAGGCAAGCGCGATAAGAGGAAAGAACTCGGGATGAAGAGAGGAATGGCAGCGGCAGCGGCGGCAGCGGCGGCGGCGGCGGTCTCCATGGCGAGGTCCTCTCTCCTCGGTGTGGGGTTCTGCTTACGGGGAAGTGGAACGGGTTTGAAAGAATCTCAAGCAAATCGGGAATTTTGATTTATATGGGCCTCATATGAGGCTGGCGATTCCCTCTTTTTTTTTTTCAACGAAAATTTTATTTCGAGTAAAGATATTTTTTAGTGGTCCCATTATATATTGTATGAAAATTTACATAGAAAAGCATACCGTATCACTCACAAAAAAAAAAAAAATTTTGAATGGGGTAGCTGTCACTTTAAATGGAATGCCTAGTAACGTAACTAATTTTTCGGCGGAATCTAATAAGGTCATCCATCGGCATCGGACCCACACTTACTTTACCTCATTGAAGATACGAGGTTGTAGAAAAGAGAATTCAAACCCGGTATGGGGGTTCTCAACCGTACTTGCCCACCAACCATCCTAAGCCCCGGTGGGTATCCAATAACATTTGAAATTAATATCTCATATAAATTACATATGAAATCAAAACATAATATTTACATGCAAGCACAAATAAAAACAAAATGCAACCATATGCAGGGCCGTCATTCAACTCATGTGTTATCAGTCTTTAAAAAAAATGATGCAAAACAAAAATTAAGAAAAACAAAAAAATAAAGCTCTCATGAACTCCTCTCCAAAAACAATCTAGGCAATCTCTCATTTCCTCACTAGCTTGAGAACCTCTTTTGCCTTGGCCGCCCTCCTCTTATTTATGCACTCAAGCTAATTTAATTCCCTCTTCCTCCCTCTTTTACTCCTTAGCCTCTCTCTCTTTAGCCCGCAGATCGCCCAGTCACAATACTCACTATACGACCCTAGCCAGTATCCCCAGTGGTCAAGGTCTGTTGCCTAACCACTGTTAGATTGCTTGTTATGGAGCTTCATGCTACCTGTGCACCAACCTCTTTGCTTCAATCCATCTCTCTCTCTCTCTCTCTCTCTCTCTCTCTCTCTCTCTCTCTCTATTTAGCACCTCTCCATCTCATCACATGTCATATTGTTTGTAGATGAAAAGTTGATGACCCAACAAGATAAAATCCAACCACACACCAAAAGAATGTATCATATCAAAATATATAAAAAAATCCAAACTTGTTCCCATTGCAATTGAATCGATAGCAAGTACTACAAGCAAACAATATGTGATAATTTTAAACACAAAAATGAAATATTGTGCACATCTAAATAACAAAATATTAATTCAAACATTCAAATTGAGGCATGTTTTAACTTTAATGCAATGCCTAGAAAATCATGTAAATGCATCATAGGCAAGATTGGATGTTAGCATATGCTTTGATAAATGCACTAAATGCTTAAATATGATATCAAAATATTGTACTGACTACAAGGAAGATGAATTCAAACTTACCCTGCTCTGAGAAGTATACAATCAATTTGAGGCCTCACATACTCTCTTTTTAAACTCAATATCTCAAACATTTTGAATGATGCTCTTGAGCAATCCACCTTGCCTATATGGCAAGGTCTTAGGTCTCACATTTAAAGTTTGATCCTTTGTATTCCAAATAAATATAGTTGAACAGGCTTGAATCTCATGATTTCACACATTAAATTTTACGCAATCATTAAAATTTTTGAAATTTCCATCATTTGGTCTACTACAATAAACACATGTCACCATAGTCCGGAAATTAAATACTCATTCATAAATCTTGTAAAAAATATCTAATTTTACATCTGCATAAGGCCTTCAAAGCCTCTATCATGAAAATTTTATTTCAAAATGCAAACTCTCTAAACTACGCTTACACATAAAATACACACAAATTCTAACCTACAGGCCCAATCCTCTACATATAAGCATGGTTGGCAATGATTGTAAAGCAATAACAATTAAGTGAACTCATATGATGGGTAAATTATAAACCAATTTACCCAATCACTTATAAGCAACTAGTTAGAATCGACAGGGTGTAAGCATTCAAATGTCTCAAGCAACTCAACCCCAATGATGGTTTTGTTGAAAGCAAATTTTAACTATAGGGGATTTTATTTTCAAAATAACCCTGATTCTCAAAATAATTTAATTGGAATCAAGTTAATTCCTATAAAAAAAAATATAAAAATATATAAGAAAGTACAAAAATATTCAAGTATTAATTCAAGGCTCCATGCATCAACTCATCCACCATCCATAATAGTTTATTGATAACAAAAAAATTATGATAACTTAAGCTTATAAAGAATCAATATCATATCAAGTGTACCTCAATGGTCACTTTTAAAGATCTTGAACAACTAATAAAGTGGCACGTGTTCTCTGATCAGGTGATTTTCCCACCAAATGTCACCACAATGGAATACTTATGATTGGGGCTCCTTTACCGAATGGTTTGTTACAAAACGAAACCAATAAATTACAACCACAATCAAAGCCCAAAACTTTTATAATAGCCTGAATACATAGAGTGATAAATTATGGAGTGCACTTTATAGAGCATGAAACCCTTTCTTAAAATCATTCAAGTGCAAGATTACAAAAGTTATCGCATTCCAAGAGTTACTAAACAATGCGACAAAACTTAATAAAAAGTTTAATCTTTTAAAGTATGAAGGTCAACCTGAAAAGTTTAAAAGAAGTAAAGCTACATAAACAAGAAAGCATGAAGTGCATGTCATATCTTTTAATATTGGCAAAGCAAAGAAAATTAGTTGCAATGTTGATAAAGGGAAACAACATGCTTATAAAGAAGATAAAGTAAAGAAGAAAATCAGTTATAACCCAGAACAAAAAATAATAAAGAGAGGGAATGGCAAGCCAAGGGTCTTCCTTACTGGATGAGAGCATTTGAAAAAAAAAATATATGGGAACTAGTGGTCAAATATTTTCATATCATAAAGAGAAATTGAACAGAGAATATTCATTCAAAATAGTTAGTATTGTTATGTTATTCTACATGCAGGCACAACTTGAATTATCATAATTCAAAAAACTTGAAGAGGTATATCAAATCGATGATCTATATTATTGACTGTATCACAAGGTAATTAACCATCATTTAAAAAATTCTTATATTTTCAAATACTGGTTAAAAAGGAAGTATATAATGAGAAAAAGCATCATATCAAACAATGTTCTAGTTCGCCTAAAAAGAGAGCCAATAATAATGAGTATCCTCTTATGTACCATCAGTTGAAGAAGAAGGAAAATAAAATTTGTGCATGCTAAAGAGTGGGACATTGTGGCCTTAATGAAAACCTTGAAAATGTTGAAGCAGTTTCAAAGAGTTCATGGTGTTTTGTAGAGGTCTCCCATTAAACTAACGTTGAATTGAAATAAAAAAAGAGTTTGAATGCATCTACTTTTAGACTATCAATTGTGAGACACTTTAGTTAAGATTGCTTGTTGTGATCATATATCATGAGGGTAGCTCGTTGGGGAAGGTAATGATGAGCGCATGAAGAGTAGGCTCAATGTGTGCAACATTATGAGACTAACAATATATATTGGGCTCGCTGGGAAGGCATCATGGACCAAAACGTGTGAAGAAAGTTTTGAACCAAATTCGAAGCTTAATCAAAATAAAATTGTTCAAGAAAAAATTTAATAAGTAGTTTGTATATGTAAAAGAGTGTAATTTGACTCAAAATAAACTTTTGGGCATATTTACTTGAGAAAATAAACATCAAATATATTTTTCTGATTAGGTTGATTATGATGCATACCAAGTCAAATTTTCCTATAAAATTGCAGCTAAAAATTTTGTCAAGCAATATTCAAACCATTCATTTTTAACAAATAATTAATGTCGATAATAATTTATTTATTTATTTTGAAAGCCTTAAAAAAATGGAAACATATATTCATATATAATTCTTTTTTTACATAATTCAAATGAAAGAAATATAATAAATTTTCATGACATTATATATGTATTTTAAAATGTATTATAAACTTGAAGAAAATAAAGAAAAATTGGACTTTATATACCTCCATAATGATCAACATTAAAGAAATATGCTCGATGTTTTATATAATAAGGAAATATTCATAAAAGTTTTATTTGGCCCCTGCTATACTTATATTCCACTCTATACAAAAACCTAAGTCCAACCGTTCTCACTTTGACTATCAATATTGATGTTGTCATCATCGTTGTATGTTTTTTCTGAGATTTCTCATAAGGAAGGACCGGGATTGGGAAGTTAATACTTATTCATTCATCGATAAATTAAATGGAAACTCTATTTTTCTTACATTTTCATATTTATAGTGGATTATGTAATTATAATGAAGTTATAATACAGAGCAAAATACAATATCAAAAAGAATATTTTGATACTTATTAATGTGTTTAAATTGTATTTGGACCCCATTCAAACATGTATACTTGCATGTGCACTACAGGAAAATTTAATTTGTTATTACCGTCGGATGTTTCGGCAAAAAATTTTACGTCGATAATATTGGCGCCCTTTATAGGTATCTAACTCGTAGCTGGCTGGTCATAACAAAGTAACACATCCTCCCATGAGAGCCCACTTTGGGAACTTCCCTGAAACTCATAGGAAAACTCTCCTAAAATGACCAACATGCCTAGGCCTTCTAGCTAGGAACTCACCCTTCACGAGGTAGATCTATACATAATTCATCTACAAAGTTAGTAGCTAGAATCTTGTCATGCACCTAGACTATATTTGAGTCACTCGCACTCTCCTAGGGTGATTGTTATCACCAAACTCAACTACATGAATGCACCTACTCAAAGAATAGACAGTTTGACTCATCGTGACCAGCCGAGCCAGAGCTCACTGTGAAACCACTTAAGTAAAAAAAAATAAATAAACACTTAAATATTGATGTACCTTTTTATATAATGGTTGAAATTTTATGAAGAAGCTCTACAGTTAAGCATGCTCTTCCTAAAAAGATTATGGGACAGGTGACCTCCTGGGAAGTTACACCAACATGACAACATCGTAGGCCCTTATGCCAAAGCAGAAAGCATCTCAATAGTTAAAAGTTTGGGTTAATACAAATGGTATCTAAGTAATACACCAGCCAGAAGAATGAGAACTAAGTAC